TTTTGACCGAAGTCTAGAGTTATGACCCGAATGCCAGCCATGTAGACAAAGACTCGCAACACCAGAAAAATGTACGTAAGCTTCAGTCTGAGCACAGATGCACATGTTTGTGGACATTATTTCGGTCAATGCTTTATATAATTGCTATGATTGCTGCTATGGAAAAGGCCCCCCAAAAGCTAGAAAAGAAGCTAAGAGAGGAAGAGAAGATAAAGAAAGCAATCACAAGGAAAATATGGGAGTGGTGTCCATGTGACCAATCTCGATAATATGTACAGCAGGTTGAAATCTGTCATTTTGACAATTTTAGAGAGAAAAGATTTGAACAAGGAAGCTAGCTAGTTGTTGCTAAGGGTGTTACCCAAATTAGCAAGTTATGATTAATAGTATTAGATGAGATAGACTATTATTAGTGTGGATAAATGAAAGCCAGATGGCAGGTTATAGCCTGAGTCTATAATGTGTGAAAAAGCTAGAACTATAAATACAGATCTCATAAAGGATAATCCATCAAAGAGTGATAATGGTGAAACATTTCATGCCAGTAGGGGGTGGTTTCACAATTTTAAAGCGAGGACTCAGGTTCATAGTCTAACTAGCCATGGGGAAGCAGCCAGTGCTGAGAAAAGGGCTGCTGGAAATTACATACACCACTTCAAAACGATGACACAGAGAAATGGCTTTTGCTCTCATTAAGTTTTCAACTCTGATGCAACTAGCCTTTTCTGGAAGAAAAAGGCCAGGAGAACATTCATGACTCAGGAAGAGAAGAACATGTCAGACCACAAGCCTATAGGCTAACCTTATTGCTATGTGCCAATGCGAGTGGTAACCTCAAGACAAAGCCTGTCTTGGTTTATCTCTGAGACCCCTATAGTGTTCAGAAAACATAAAGCCATGAAGAACAGGTTAGGGTTCATGTGGAGATCTAATGCAAAAGCCTGGGTAACAAGAGTACTTTTTCTTGAATGGATCAGAAAGCTTTTTGTTCCACTGTTAAGAAATATCTAGAGGACAAAGGTTTATCACTCCACGCTCTCCTCACCATGGACAATGATCCTGCTCACTCATGAGATTTGAAAGAATTGGCTGAAGAATTCCCACAGAGCTCTGTCAAGTTCCTCCCACCTAATACAACTCCTCTACTGCAGCCTATGGACAAGCAGGTTATAGCCAACCTCAAGACCTATAGGGCGGGGGATTTAGCTCAGTGGCACTGCACCTGCCTCACAAGTGCAAGACCCTGAGTTTGACCCCTGTTAACCTCCCCCCTCCCACAAAAGAACCTATATACCAAGGATCTGTTGCTGAAGTGCTTCTAGATGGTCTCAGATGCAGATTTAACACTTCAAAAGTTCTGGGAGGAACATCAACATCCTTTCTTGTGTGGGGTTAATTGACAAATTCTGGGCCAATGTTTCTCTAAGGACACTGAGATTTGCCTGGAAGAAAGGTAGCCTAAAATTATATAGGAAAGAGACTCTGCAGGCTGTTTAGAGTAGCCTGAGTCTTCAATTGACCCTGTGGTTGATGACACTTTCACTATAGCAGAGTCCATAGCCTTGTAGGTAGATAGTGGTGATGTCGAGGAACTGGTGGAATTCAGAGAAACTGTCTACAGAGGAACTTCAGCAACTTCTGGCTAACAGAGAATAGCAGCTGAGGAGCTTTTTGAAGAAAAGAGAGAGTATCAACAATCAGTACAGCAAAGTTCTTTCTTCTTCTGAATTAAAGGAAATCCTGAGAAAATGGACAGAGCTATAAACATTTGTAGAGAAGTCCTACCTAAGACAGAGAAAAGGCCAATCATTGCATTCACTTGCTTAATGATAATATCACATGGTGCTATAGAACAGTGTTAAAGAAAAGACAGAAACAGGCAACTTAAGGCCAATTTTTAGTTCTGAAAAAGTTGAGACCCAGTGAGCCAGAAGCAGGTCCTAGCAGGCTATAGATTCTTCCAAGGAGAGAAAGAACACCAGAGAACCAGATTCCTGATGTTATTAGGGAAGAGACTCTCCTTCCAAACAATAACCATCTTCCAATTCATGCCCCCTTCCTGAAGCCAAAGCTGTCAACTTGAATGTTGAGTACAGTATGAAATTGTTTCTGGTAAACTAGGCACATTTTATAATTTTTTGGTGAATACACTAGGAAAATTATTGGTGTTTCTGGTAAATTATGCACATTATACAATACTTTTATAATATGAAAAGGTTAAAGGAGGATGTTCAGAACCTATTATGGGTATTTTTATTGTTTCTTATGGGAAAAATAATCTTTTTTTTTTTTTTTTTTTTTTTTTTTTTTCTAACCAGGGATCGAACTCAGGTCCTTGTGCTTGCAAGGCTGGAAAAATAATCTTGACTTACAACAAACTTGAGTTACAACCAGCCCTTGTGAATGAATTGAGTTTATAGTCAAGGGTCCACTGTAGAGGCCTGAAGGTTACCAAAATGAAATAGATCTAATGCGGCTTTAAAATTTGGACATGTGTCACACCTCAGGGTAGAATTTGACAAAAGGCTACATGTATACAAAACTATTAGACCTACAGCTTCATTCCCTTATAAGGCTCTTTGAACCCCAGTTTTAACTGTCAGGCAAATACCCTCCATGTAGGAGATAAAATTCTTCTTTTGGGAAACTAATTTTAATAATAGAAGTCAACAGAATGTCCAAAAATCCAAAATTCAAAAACATTATGAATGTGTTACAGGGAGACCTAGATAGACCATTATGTTTTCTAAAGTACACTTTATAATATTATTTGATTTAAAAATCACATATTACTTTAATTAAAAAAATAATCAAGAATACAGAAGTAGAGAAAAAAAGAACAAGAAAGCATAGAAAAGAGGAAGATTCATGAATAAGAAAAAAGAAGATAATGTGGGTGGGTTGTCAGAATAGTGGCAGGAAGACAACCTTCAAATGAGCAGAGGCTTGCTAAAAATAGTCTAAAAAGGTGCTTTAGTTACAAGCAGAGCAAGATGACAATCAAAGGGATAGATTTTCTGTGACTTATGACGTAATGCTGAGGAGAAAGACAGAAAAAACAAACTCAACAACCAGTTAGTGAATCCAACAAGAATAATCATAAGGTCCTGTCCTATGTACACAGAAACACAAGCACCCAGGACCAGCCACAACCTGTGTGGTAACAATGGGTTTCTAGCCATCTCTAATTTAAGTAGATCATGGGTTCTGTGGCCTCCAAAACAGCTTATGCGATACTGGGTGTACTTTCTGAAGCACTATGTAGCACACTTTAGAATCAATGAGCCAAAGAGTTTAAATTAATCCTTAAACAAAGGCAGGGTGATTTCAGAGAAATCAGTACAGCAAAAGAACCAACATCATTTCCTTGAGGAACTACTAAATAAACTTGAGGGTACTATCTCTGAAGAACATCTGGAAGAAGACACCTGCCTTATAAGAAAGAGGAGGAAGGAATACCAGAGATACAGACGCATAGCAGAAAAAGTGAGGACACAGCAAAGTGGACACCTGCAGGCCAATGAGCAGTGCCTCAGAAGAAACCAAACTGCTGGCACCTTGATTTTAGACTTCTAGCCTCCAGAATTGAGAAAATAAATGTCTGTTGTTTAAATCACCCAGTCTGTTGTGCTGTTACTGTAGTACTGATCCAAACTCTAAGGCACTACAGAAAATGACCAGGGAGAGGAAAAAACCCACAATACTAATTTTTTCCTATTCTTTCTTTATAGAAAAGTGAAACATTCCAGAGAGCAGTCCTGAAAAGGAGGAGGGATTACTCACTTAGGGTTTTTAAGAGTCACCATCTACTTATTACTGAAAAGCTTTTTAAGATCAGCTAAAAGATACAATTAAGTCCAAAGACCATTTCTCAGCTAATTAGTCTAGTATTTACAAGGGTAAAAGACAATCCACAATAACCTCTAGTGCTAGAGCCTCACTTTGTTCAGGCAGACAGCTGCTGTTCCATTTGACTGTGCTGCTTCACTCATGCTTTCCAAATTCTAGCAGGGGAAATGCCCTGCTATAACTTCTTTGGTAATTAAACCACTGCGACTGAATAGTTTAGGCCAAAAGTGGGCCCCAACTGGTTTTGAAAGGCAGATGTTTAGTAACAATGTTGTTAATTCAAGAATAGGCAAAGCCAAAACCTTAATCAGTAGACAAATGTGTCATACACTTGGCCTAGACCTCAATTATTTTTCTAATAGCCATTTTCCAGCTTGAGGCCATGTATCACCTAGAGCAGATGGCTCTCCTGAGATACCCTAAGTATTTAAAGATACTTTTCTACTAGTAAGCAAGAAAATATCAGAGGGCACTATTATCAAAAATAAAGATGGATGGGGTCGGGGATCTAGCTTAGTGGTTCCACTGCCTGCCTTGCAAGCACAAGTTTGATCCCCAGCACACACACTCACACACTCACACACACACACACACACACACACACACACACACACACGATGGATGATTCACTTATTTGAAAGCTTAGGTGGCTTATATCTAAATTTATGAAAAGTTACACATTTTTATCTAGAGCAAATACAGAAATATTTCTTTTATGTCTGGGGTTCTCAAAAACCTCAGGAAAAGCACCTGTTAACAGAGAAAGCCCTCTTTAGTTAACATTGCCAGGAAGATCAAAGGAAAGGAAGGAGCCCTAACAACTGTTTATAAATAAAGTTATAAGCAGAAATGTGGAGATGGGTAATAAAGGGAAAGCATGTAAAAGCAACATAAAAGTAGTCTAAGTGTGAAATATGGGGAGACAGGAAATCGGAAGATCTCTAAGTTCTAAAATGAAAGTTTTCTGGAAAAAAAAAATCTAAGCATCATTGTTATTTTAAACTTTCCTTTGGTCATTTTCTGATAAACTGTATTATGTTGAAGAGACATAACTTTGCCATGTGACAGATCTGTACTCTAAGGGAACTGCATGACAAAAGTCAACACAACACAGTCAACCACAGCAGTGGGTTCATACAATGAAGACATACCTGCTTCTGGGTCTGCAGGGATTCTCCACATGTACAGGTTGAAGTCATCAGAGCCTGAAAGGATATACTGTTGGGACAAAAAATTTATATTTTATTTTATAATTCAATATATTACGATCCAATTATAGTATAGAACAATAAATATACAGTAATGAAAACAAACTGACTTACTATATCTGTATCTTTTTATGCGTACAGAGAGACTTAAAATTTTAAAATGGGTGAAGGATTTGAACAGATGTTTCTCCAAAGATACAAATAGCCAAAAAGTATAGAGAAAGATGTTCAACATCATTAATCATTAGGGAAATGCAAATCAAAACCACAATGAAACATCACTGCATACTATTAGGATGGCTATTACTAAAAACAGAGACCATCACAAGTACTGACCAGGATTGAGCATGGTGGCACACACCTGTAATCCTAGCACTTGAGAGGGTGAAGCAGGAGGATAGCCTCAAGTTGGAAGTCATCCTAGGCTATACAGTAAGTTCAAGGCCAGCATGAACTACATAGTGAGACCCTGTCTCAAACTCAAAAACACACACACCCACAACACCCACACACACCAAACAGACACCACAAAAACAAACAAGTACTAGCAAGACAAAGTGGAGCCTCATTACTAGTACTGTTAATTGGAATGTAAAATGGTATAGCCACTGAAGAAGATGGTAAGGTAATTTCTCAAAAGGTTAATTATAAAAATATACAACCCAGGGCCGGGGATTTAGCTCAGTGGTTCTGCTGCCTGCCTCCCAAGCACAAGGACCAGAGTTTGATCCCCGGTACCAAAAACAAAACAAAACAAAGACAAAAAAACAAAAAAAGTACAACCCAGCAATAGTAATACTAAATACAAATCCAAGATTTGAAAGCAACAACTTTAACAAATAGCTCTATGTGTTGTATGCCCACGTTCATAGTAGTATTATTTACAATAGCCAAAAAAAAAACCCCATATGCTAACAGATAAATGGATTAACAAAAGGTGGTAATACAGTCAGTGGAATATTATTCAGCCCTTAAAAGGGAGGAGATTCTAATCTTCTACATGCTACAATACAAGTAAGCCTAGAGGAATTACACTACACAGAACAAGATAGGCACAAAAAACAAACACTGCATTAAGTGATTTCACTTATATGAGGTATTGAGTAGTGAGACTTCATAGACACAGTAAGGTGAATGTGGTTGCCAAAGGTTAGAGGGAGAGAATAGGAAGGAGCTGGCATCTAATGGGACAGATTTTTGGTTTGAGATATTAAAAAATTCTGGAGATGGACAGTAGCAATGGCTATGTAATGAGAGAATGTACTTGTTACTAAACTGTACATTTTTATTGTTAACTTTTTAAAACCCCCCACCTTTTTTGGTTTTCTGAGACAGAGTCTCACTATGTAGTTGAGACTGATCTGGAACTCACTATGTAGTCCAGGCTGGTCTCGAACTCACAGTAATCCTCCTGCCTCAGCCTCCCAGAGTGCTGAGATTACAGGTGTGCACTACCATGCCTGGCTTCTTTTTTTTAATGCTTGGGATCAATCCCAGAGCCTTGCACATAGTACATTCCCCACCTCTGAACTGTACATATAAAAATATTCAAAACAGTAAATTTCATTTTACAACAATTTGGGGAAAAAAAAATCAATGTGGAAAATACAAAGTAGGGGCTTCCCAGAGACTTTTTTTTTTTTTTTAAATGGAAGGCCAAGCATTCTGAACTTACCTGCTGCCAACTGACTTCTTTAATCAGGAAGCCACTGCCAACTCAGCCAAAGTTAATATTCAGGGCCTAACAAATCCCTTTTTATGTGGCAGTTCATTTGATCTCAAAAAGGATACTATGCCAAATCTAGTCTAATTTAGACTCAAAAGCATTGTTTATACTGTTTTGTTTTGGTACTGGGGATCAAACTCAGGACCTTTCATTTGCAAGGCAGGCAAGAGGCAACACTGAGCTAAATCCCTGGTCCTGCCCTGTCATTGTTTAATAGTAGCAAATAAGCAGTTCTGGGTGCTCATTTATTTCTAAATATTAACAAAACTTTTACTTTGTTAACTTCCTGCTTTTGGCCCCATCTTCTTATTTCCCTAGGGGAAAAAAGGCTTATTGTTTTCTAAGAAAAACCTCTTACCTGAAAAGGGTTATTGTGAAAAATTTTAAAGAGAGTGTAAATCAAATATACATGTAAGTTCATGCTTCATCACTTAAACACTAAAGTATTAAATTTAGTACTAAGTACTTTGCAATCTTTTTTTTTTTTAAAGAGATAAGGCCTCATTTTGTAACTCAGACTAGCCTTGAACTAACTCTGTAGCCCAGGCTAGCCTCAAACTTGCAGTGATTCTCCTCTGCCTTACCTTCCCGAGTTATGGGATTATAAGTGTGCACCATCATGCCCTGCTCTGCAATCACTTAAAAGTCAATTTACTAGTCTTCAAAACACACATGGGAACATAGCAATGAGTAGGTATGTTTAAAGATAAAGCAAAGGCTATTTATAAGGGTTAAGGAAAGCCAGGCATGGTAGCACACACCTATACTCTGGGAGGTTGAGGCAGCCTGAATAATAGACTAACAGCCAGATCCTATCTCAAAATAAAAAATAAAAAAGGAGCTGGGGAAGTTAACTCAGTATAAATGCCAGTACTGTACTCATTCTTCAAGACTCAGTGACTGGACCAAGGAGTAGTAGAAAAAAAACCGTGGGCTATTTTCTCATCTGCAAAATGAGATATCTGGACTTGATACTCTCTGAAGCACTCTGATGTTTACAAAGATATGGAGAGGGGCTGAGGATTTGGCTCAGTGGTTCTGCCATCTGCCTCACAAGCAAAAGGGCCTGAGTTCAATCGCTGGTACACAAAAAAAAAACAAAACACATACACACGCACACACGCGCACACACACAAAATGGAGAGCAATAACCTGGATTCCTAAGAGCTTACATCAAGTAGAAAATATAAACATGCAGGTATGCAACAACTATTCCATATATAGAAGTCACTGGGTACCATTATGAGAATAAGATGCCTGGTGAGTCACTGAGCTAAAGATTCAAGAAAAGAAATATCTGAATACTGAGCCAGCTTTAGAACAAGGTGTGGTTTAAAAGGCAAAAGAATGGAAGGGGCAAAGATAAAGCAATGGTTCTCTGTAGTCTAGTTTTTAAAATAAGAACAAGAAGCATGGCTTAGTTTTCTCTTTGATATCCTGATCTTATCTCTTGGGCCTTACTGCTTTGTATACATTGCCTGATCCCCAACTACCAACAACATATGTCTACACGAGTGTCAGCTAAATTATCTAGGAATGAACATCATCAGGAGCATAACTTCAACTAATGATGGGCAGAAGTTGGCACATCAATGGCCCAATCTCCTTGTTCCTAGATAAAACTAAGATGTTTGTGTTCTATAACTCAAGAGTCAATCTCCAGCTGCCCACAGTAGCTGCTTCAGTAAATCTTTCTTCATCTTCCTAACATCTACTCTTCTGCCATTGTTTACTGTGCTTCTAGATTAAACTAGTTGTACCTGAAACTTGAACCCAAATTAAAACAAAGGGGTGGGGAGTAAAGAAAACTAAAGAACTGCCCACTAATTATATGTATATATGATTATGTAACATATACGACTCAACATTTTATTTCTTGCTGTGTTTAATAGAGGCTATAAACCTCATACAGAATTCCTGCCTCTCTTCCTTTCTACACAAACCTCCACAAACTAAGCAAATAAAACATAAAAGGAGTAAGCCCAGGCTAGGGTTATCAGAGGTTTTACTATTTCACTGTGAGGGCTCAGCACTTTCCTATTTATTCAACCATTCACCAGGACAGAGACCTGAAAAGGTAAAAGGGGATTCCCCGACAGAATGATGGCTCCAAAGACTGCCTTAAAAGAAAAATTTCCTGCAGAGTTAAGACCTGTTAGATTTTATATGACAGCTCCTAAAACACAGAAAATACATAGAATGTATAGGCTTTTCTCTTAGTGATAAGGACAGCTGTTGATTGCTCTACCTTTTAAAAGTAACTTTCACCTATCATAAAGGAGCAGCTCAGATGCTTTCCAAGGATGAGTCTTGACCTACAGACATGTAGTCAGACTGTAAGTATTCATACACATTGAAATTGCAAAATGCTCTGAGAAATTCATTTATGACATTTTGTGGTTATCTACTGGACTCCTTCCAGCATTAAGTTTGCTGCCTGGGATATTGCTGACTGTGACAGACTAAAATTGAGTTCATTCCTTTATTCATTAAATAATATTTACTGAATGTCTCCTATAGGTTGGGCCCTGTTCCAGGGAAAGGATACATGGACCAAAAGAGATCCCATTCCTGCCCTCACACTATTATATCCTATGAACAGAAGAAAAAAAAATACTATATACAAATATAATACGGGTAAGAGGAAATTGGTTAGAAACCAAATTTTATATGTGTGTGTGGTATATGTACATGTATGGTAGTACTAAGTGCTAAAGACTAAACAGAAAATTAGGGGATGTGGGGGGTGGTAGGACTAGTTTCTGTTTTATATAGGGTGGTCACAGAAGGTCTCTCTGATAAAATGGCACGAGCAGAACCCTGAGGGAAATGAGGGAGCAAGTTATGTGGATGTCTGGAAGAAGAGTACTCCTGGAGATAGCACAGAGTTCATTAAGAGCCCCACTACCAAGCTACGGAGAAGTATAGAGATACATTTGCTTCACTGAGGTTGGTGGAAAGACTCCTCTTCTAAAGCTGTGCTGGCACTGTCACTGCCTCCTGGACTTGCACTGGTTGGAGCCTCAGAATGAGGCCTGCTAATGGTTAGCGCTCAAGAGGACCAACAGAATACTTCAAGTCTTGGTGGCTATCTCACATATATCTACTGTGGGATGCAATGGAAAATGAAAAAGAAAATAAAGATAAAATAGTTCTGGGCCAGGGATGTAGCTCAGTGTTGCCGCCACCTACAAGATCCTGAGTTTGACCCTGGATACCAGGAAAAAAAAAAAGTTCCAACGCCACTCACTACTAAAAGAAATCCCAATAACCATTGAAAACTG